ACGACGACAACGACGACAACGACGACAACGACGACAACGACGACAACGACGACAACCGCGACAACCGCGACAACGACGACAACGACGACAACGACGACAACGACGACAACGACGACAACGACGACAACGACGACAACGACGACAACGACGACAACGACGACAACGACGACAACGACGACAACGACGACAACGACGACAACAACAACAACAACAACAACAACAACAACAACAACAACAACAACAACAACAACAACAACACCTACACCTTGTCAGAAGAAACTGCTTCCTTTGTATTTCCTCCTTTGTTTTCCAAAGACAGGACTGACGCAGCCTGTCTGGATACGGGCTGGGGTGGCTGTGTTTTTGAATGTCGTCCTGTAGGAGCGAAAAAAGGCGCTCAAAGGCACCGCGGTAGTTCTTAGAGGGGGGATGTGAACGCATTCGAGAAGCCCTCACCCTTAGTGCCGAACTGTTCGATACTCACCGTTACCCCTGGGCTCGTTGGATTAGGAAGGCACCATTGCATTGCAGATGTTCGGCCTTGGGGTGCTCCAATCTCCACTGGAGACTTGCCTCGCACGAACTGCCAGGCTGGGGGGTTTGGAATGTTTTCAGGCTCCGAACAAGGCTCAGGATTTAGGGCTCGGTGCTGAAGCTCATGTGGCCTTTTAACTTTTAACCAACAAAAGCAAAACCAAAACAAACCTGACGAACTTGGCCTCCTCGTCCCAGGCTTTTGGGAGCCATTTTACCCGTCAGCTCCTTGAAGCTTTGGTAACCTTCCTGCCAAATGAACAGCTTTTGGTGTAGTGCTCATAGCTTGAATGCCCTCATTCCGGCTTTACAAGGTTGCGTGGCTTCCGAGATGGAACCCTCACACATGCCGGCGGGGCCGGCTTCTTGACAAAATCGCCCAGCCTAAGAGCATCAGCGACTCACATGCTTGGCGCTTGGAGAATGGGAATGACTGTGCGTGTGTGATCAAGAGGGCAAAAGAGTTTGGGGGGAGGGAGGGAGTGAAGAAGAGAGACGCCTGCTATGGGTCTAGTGAAACCCAACAGCCAAGATTCTGAAAAGACTGGCAAGCAGGGCCCACCAAAATAACAGACACATCAAGACGCAGAAGATGCCACGCTGGAAGTTGGATACCTACATGCGGCAAAGCTAAGAGAGCAAGAGAGCAGAGAGAGCAAAGAGTGAGGGAGAGAGGAAGCGAGGGTAGAGGGAGAGATAAAGCAAAGAGGAAGAGGGGCGAGAGGGGGAGCGAGGGGAGAGAGAGGGAGAGCTAGCGCGAGAGGGAGATACAAGGAGAGGGAAGCATGGAGGACACCCCAAATGATTGGGGCTTGCTAGAAGCAGCTCAGAAGCTTCTGATCCGTCCACATGGATGGGAGTCGCCGGACCTGGCAAGCATCTCAAGACCATAGGTGACCATGAGGAGCAGATCAGGCCTCTGTCAAGTAGTCGGTGTTGGCGATCCGCGTGAGTTTCACCTTGGTCCAGCAGTCCAATCTGCCCTGAAAAACTCCTCAGGAGTTTTGCAGCCCCGCTCTCTGGGTCAAGGCGAACTGAGGTAGGTACGCTACCTGCCGCCCGGGGTGCCTCGGTCGACTGCCATGCACCAGTCGGAACAACGTCGTGGGGGTGAGACGATGGCGAAGGCGGCAAAGGCTGATCAAGGCTCAGCCCTTGAAGCCCCAACTAGTCGCTCGGCAAAGGCTGCGGCGGCACTTTCGAGTTCCAGGGCCTCTAGGAGAAGTGTCCAAGGAGGGGCTCAACAATGAGATGCAGAAGGGCAACGGGCTGGTAACGAGCTCCGGGCAGGCGGCTTCTTGCCTCTCCTGTTCGGTTCGTAAGAGCGCTCTGTGAGAAAGGAGCTTCGTGTTTGTCTCGGGTGAAGAGGACTTATGCCAGGCATTTGGCGCTGCACCCGTCCTGCCCTCCTCTTCCATGGTCTTTTTGCTGTCCTGGCTCTGCAAAGGTTGGCCAGGAGCTTCTTCAGTAACCAGCCAAAGCCATCAAGGCCCCAAGTCTTAAACACGCACAACCCCAAGCCAGGGTTGGCCGTCCTGGATCAGCTCCTCAATCTCAAGCCACAGTAGGGCCGTGTTGGTGTCCTCCCGCCACATGGGTGCTTTAGGTCTGACGGTTTGGGGATGAACTTGAGCCTCCAAACAATGTCGCGAGCCCCTGAGCCCACCGCACCAAGACAGATCCAGAAACCACTCGGAACCCAAACCCACAAAGCAACAGGAGCCAATTGACGTACCCGGGAGGGAGAGGGGGGGAGGGAGAGGAAGGAGGGGGGGGGGGGGGGGGCGCACCGAGTCCACCGCGCTGTCGAGGCGCGACAGAAGTTGCAGCGGCCGAAGGCGCCGGCTTCCCTGAAGTGGTTGCTGGCCTCACAGAATCTTGGGGTGTTTTAGGCGAGTCGTGGGGGGTGGGGGGGGGGGGGGTGAATATACTGTGTACCATTCATGGACCTGCTGTAGCTATTTTGGTTTCTCCTGTTGGGTTTACAGAGTATTCTGCGAAGGGTTGCCTGGGCTTTTGCTCTTGATTTGAGCTGCGACCAACAGCTTGAAGCTTCAGGGTCTGTCAGCTCAGGGTCATCCATACCAAGGCTACGAAGACTTCCCTAAATCCTGAAATCCTGCACCCCTAACGTGTAGGAGAGACGAACGTCTGAGCCGACTACATCTCGCTTCTGGTTGCCGGCGTTGAGGTTGCACTTGATGTTCACGCCTCAGCTCCGATGGATTCCGGAAAACGGCGATTCGGGAAACTGCTGTCCCCGATTCAGAAAGCAAGAGGGAGCGAGGGCCGGCGAGAGAGAGGTAGGGAGAGGAGAAGGAGAGGGTGGGAGGGAGATAGAGAGAGCGAGCGAGCTCTACTACCACCCCAATGAGCGGCCTTGGTTGCTCGACCGAGGCTTCAGCAAGACATGGCAGCTCGCATCCACGTGTTCAGGATTTCGGCATTCGAGGAATCAACAGATTCTAGAGAAAAAGAGGCGTCTCAGAACTGGCGAAACCTGCCTGAACAGTTGGCTTCTGTGGCCGCCACCCGCAGGGCAGTAGAGGAAGAGGGAGCAGAAGCCCTGCGCGCAAGCCCAGCATCAGAAAAACTTCAAAGCTTGAAGACATTTGAAGACCTTGAAGCCCGTGAGTGTCCCCCGGCATGCGAGGCCTCCGTGGAGTCTCGGTACCCCATGGGGTAGAAAATGAACTGCATGCCGTCAACCTGGCTTTGAGAGTTTTGGGGCTTCTCTACAGTCTCCCAGGCACTCCAGTGACGAAGCTGAGGCCCCCCACGCCCCCGGCTGAGAAAACCGGGCTGCAGATTGGTTGGTCATGGGGGAAGAGCCGCGGCCTGGGACACTCCCGTGAGGCACAAGAGCCCGCGAAGACGAGCCTTTACTTCTCAGCGGGAACCGCATGCCGAGATCATGTGGAAACCCTACGTCCTGATGCGGCTAAGACTGTGGCAGCTGGTCGACTTCGGACAGCAGCCACTCGACACGCCTTTAAGGAGGCTAAAACGGATAAAGTTCTAAAGGTTGCGTGGAGTGACTTGAGGCCAGAACTTGACCATCTTGCAGTGCATCTTGTCAACCTGACCAAATCGTCATACAAATAGTGATGTTCCAGTAAACTCGCACGCTGCTCGGGCCTCTTTCCTCACTTGAGACAAGACCTTGGCTCAGAAGCATCTGCCCTCGTGCCTCACAAAACATCGCCAACTGGAATAAGAAATCACAGAATGAGCTCATCACTCGATGGTTGACATGGCGCTGGAAGGACAGGACGCCGTTGCTGTACCTTGTCTGCATACACAAGCTTATAAGCAGAGTTGGGGCAGAACAGCAGCCTCCGTCGCATGGGTCGCAGCTGATTGGGAACTTGGTGCTCGGCGGCATGTCCCTGGGACTTTCTTCTGCACCTGTTCGGACAGGGCTCTTTGATCCACATCGCACGCCAACTGGTAGGATTGCGGAGTACCGTACACCAGAAAAGTTCACCAAGCCCGAAATCCACCAACGACTCATGAGGGATCTCGGACAACGGCCTTGGGTAGCCTCGGAAGCTTCCGGCTCACTGGCGGCCTCCCGGAGAGGGCCCGGGGGGACTCAGGTCTTTGAGGGCAAGGCGGCCTTGGGGATGCTTCTCATACCGGTGCTTCTAGAGCACGATGCCAACTCTTGAAGCTCGGTTGCGTACATTCTAAACGGGGTGATGATAGACAGCATGCAGAGCGCCACGAGCCACAGACCCGAGCGCCCCACGCACGTTAACTCACGCTTAGCTTTCACAGAAGCACGAGGCTGCACTAAGTTTTGCACTTGCCTGGCTCACTTGCCTGATTGTTTCCAGGATCTCCACGCCAACCTCAGGCGTCGTGATGCGTCGTGCGATTCGTCGGATCACTGCAACCGCCGTCGCACCACAGAAACCAGAGCTCAAACCTTCAGCATCCTGAGAAGAAGGGAGACCATGAGCCTCATAAACATGAACCTTCAGATACTTTCAGCCTGAATCTTCAGCCTTCGGCCCTAAAGTCCTGAACCCTAAATTGACTTCTTACTCTCAACCCGAAGTCCTGCAAAGCCCACTCTGACGCGGGGCATGCAAGGAATCATCCTCCTCGTTGATGTGGTCCTGGCTCAGCATCCGGCACACGAAGGGGTGGAGCGAGCCCTTTGGGGGAATCGCCTCGTTTTCGAAACAAGCATTGAGCTATAGCTGGCAGCTATGAGTGCCATCGCGCAAAGAACAGGTCTAGCAGCGTCAGGCTAACACGTGCACAGCCATAAGGATTCGGAGCTTGGAGGTATGGCTATTAGAGCTGGCATTGATGAGTCTCACGGCTCAGCATAGCTTCCAACAGCTTACTGCACGCATGGAAACTCGCAGCATGACAGAACTAGCAGTAGGATGTGCGCAACTCGATCCTTCTGAGATCCTTCAAGCGCGTGTTGGCACGGCCCTTTTCGTGATCCCCACGGTCGCAGTGCAAGCGCACAACTGCACAGAAGAATCAATCAATAATCTGTGGACAAACACAAGCAAACAACGCACTCAACACCCATGCTCAACTTACATCAGACCGAAAAGCTTGAGGCCTTTCATCAATGTGCCCACAGACTCCGAGACGAATCAACGCGTTGCTGATAAGTTTGGCCGTTCTCGGCGTGCAATCTTCATCTTCAGTCCGATGAGAGGTCTTTTGCCCCAGACAGCTTGACCTGCCAGGGTGGCGTGAACTTGACTCATTGAACGGATGTAGTATTTGGATGCTGTGGCATGTTGGGCTGGGGAGGCTTACCGGAAAACAAGCGCACCTTCACGCTCCAGGTCAACTGGGCCCATGGTAAAGCGGTTCACGCCGTAAAACTCGGTAGCTTCCGTTGTGCTGATCTTGGAATACACCTCGTCGTAGGGAGGGGCAAGCGTGAAAGTGAAGTTGCGGAGCAGGTTCAACCTGCAGTGCAGACAAACTGGACAGAATTTTGGACAACGCATAGGACAGGCATAAGGACAAAGAAAGGCTTAAACAGCTCATGATCGCGTCTGCTCATGGCAGTAGAACGCAGCAGGACATGCCAACATCATGCCAAGGTGCATGATAACCCTCATCTCCATCTGCGCAAAGTTTCGCCCCAGGCAGCTGCGAGGTGCGTGTGCAAAGGGTGAGAACCGCTCCGACTGAGGGTTAGTAGCGGCCATGGGGCAGCCAACATGCGCCAGCTCGCAGGCAGAGAAGTCGCGATAAGGATTGAAGCGATTCGCGTCTGGGCCCCAAACATCTGGATTCCTATGTCTGGACCAATTCACGATGTTGATCGCCGTGCCCTTTGGCAGAAAGACATCCTTCCCATCCGCCCCTTTGACTGAATCTCCCATTTGTAGCCGCCGAAACGTTCCGTTGGCAACAGCAGGCCAGAGTCGTAGCGTTTCCGTGATGCACCTGTCCATCAACTCAAGCCGACTGAGGTCTTGGTAGCTGGGATCTTTCCCGTGCAGGGCTTCCAAAAAGCGGTCGACTTCATCTTGCACAGCACTCTGGATGCCTGGATTGCGTGCAAGTTCAAAGAGCAACCAAGTCATGGTGTGCCCTGTTGTGTCATGCCCCGCGAACAAGATGAGCAGGAGATTCCCGTAGAAGCCTGCTGGTGTGAGGTTGGCTGTGCGCAAGACTTGTGACAATGGCCCCTTGACTGGACAGCCCGAGCTTGGAAGTGTCAGATCCTGCTTTTCCAAGCTTGCGACAATCTTTGACATGGCATCGGCCAGGGCATTGCTCTTGTTGCCGTCTTGATTCCCACTAAACGCAGAACGCATCTCGGCGTTGACACTGCTCATGAGATCCTCCGGCACACCTAACAAAGCCAGCTGCAACTGAGCTTGAGCTTCGTGCAGGAGGAAGTCGCTCATATCCACAGGAGTGCCATTCAAGGCTGCGTCCATCAGTCTCGCTGTGCAGCTTCTGGCTCGCGCAAATGATACGGGCATGATCTGCGCCAACGACGACAAAGGCAAGAACGCCTCCAGAAGGTGCTGTCTCTGATCTTTCCATTCCTGGTTGTCTGTCGTGGATATGACGCTCGTCATCAAGGCGGACTCAAACCCTCCGTCCTTCTGCACATGTATTCTGGAGAGTCTCGCAGCGTCCTCTGGATCAGCTACGATAACGCGCATGTCGACGCGAGTTACGGTTTTGCTCCCGGAGCCCATATTCACCACCTGTGGCACAGCCAAGTTGCTGCTGAGGCCGCGTTTGCCATACTTGTGCTGCCAGGCCGCAACTTGCTGCATGTTGCTGCCGCGTGCATAGGCCCATTGCACCTCTTGCACCAGCCGCGCCCTGTCTGCCGTCGTATGTGCCGCATCCCATGGCCCTGGCAATACTTTCGTGAGTGAAAGGCGGCCTTCCGCCTCGGATACTTCCAGCATCGCTTCCAGCTCTCTCTTTGCGTTGACGGAGAAGAGGTGATTGGTCGTCTGCATGAAATCATAGTGAGTGATGCTCGGCATCTTCCCCATCTGCCCGCCCGCTTTCAACTCGTCTATTTCTGCCGTGTACTTTCCTGCTACTTCCACTGCTTCTTGGATGAGCTCTTGCAGCGGCTTGCTCGATGCAGGCTGTGGGCACAGCTGCTGCGCGACCACACGGACGCGTGAAGCCATTGCAAGACAGTTAGGCTCCTTGTGGAGGCAACCGTCGTTCCGCGAGAGGTTCCAAAGAAAGCCAACTTGACAGCAAGGATGTGCAACAAGGACCCCAACTACAACCCCCGCATGCACATTATGTTGTGCCGCTGTGAGTCCAAGAGGTGGGCTGTGCAGCTAACAATGTGGCACAGTGAAGGAGCTGTGCCGAAGATCTGGGCCGGTCGTCAGCAAATTCATTGTCTGCCAGACTACCCGCAAACAAAGGAATCAGGCGCCAACTGAGACACCAGAAAGGTTAGCAAGAGCACCGTTGAGCAGGGTTAACCAACTCTGAACCTCGAATACACGCAGGTAAAGCTGAAGGTCTTGACACTGTTGTTACTTCGCGTGCAGGTACTACATATCTGGTGAATACTTCTCAAGGTCCTACATCTTGGGTGTAGACTGGGCGTTGCGCACAGGGGCTGCAAAAGGATGTGTCTTTGGATTTAAGATGAAATAAGATTGGGGAGTTGGGTGGCCGGGCACCGCGTCGACATACTGAATCCCTGAAAGCCGCATGACGACTCATAAATTAGGATGTTCCCCCTTATACTAACATTCCTTAATAAGGATGAGAATAGTGTGTACTATAATCCCTATTCTGGACTGTTAGGATAAGGAGGAGCATCCCAACCAAAAAAGTTTTAGGAATGTTCAGGGCCTACACTGTAAGCCCTGAACTCCGAAGTCTTGCTGGCTTTGTCTTCGCTCCGGTCTTGGACAAATCTGCGGACAGACACGTCTCCGCCACTTGGCACCATGTTAATCTTGGCGACCGCTGATTCGCGCGTGCTTCCAGGCCCTTGAACCTCGCACCAACTCCTCCCACAAAAAACACCCACACACAACGCCAACAAACGCATCCCAACCACCCAAAACTCCCAAAAAACATCTGCCCTTCCCCCCTTCGTCCTGCAGGAGGCCCATCTTCTTCGCGCCCGCTGCGCCTTCAGAGTGCGAGGCCTCTTCAACACAAGGAGGATTCCGAGAGGGCTCTAAGGAGAGGGCTCTGGGCTTCTCTGATTGAGGGTTTTTTAAGCTTCAATGTCTTGCTGGCGAGGGTGGAGGGGTGTTCGGCTGAAGCATTTGGTGTGTTGTACGAGCGCGACTGTTTGCAAGACCCGCTCTCACGTCACGTGAACAGATACTGCTGCTGTGCTCCTGATCTCAAAGCCCTACCATTTGTGTCTCAATAGTGCGTGCTAGGAATCGGGCCCAGATGTCTTTTCAGAAGTGTCCGGACCGCACGTGAATTCATATCATCGAGAACACTTTGTGAAGCTGCAAACTTTATCGCTGCCTTGTACATAACACTACAATGACGGCCTGTCACCCTGTGCTCTGGCCACGAGAGACAACAAGCACCCGGGCCCGGAGGCTCACCCAGCATTCTCAGCAGATTCGCGTGCGAACGTGTTTTTGTTTTGTAGTACACGCGTGCTAGCCATCACTGCTTTTCTTTCAATAACATTGGCACAAGTGGCATAAAAACCGTCAGCAGTGCTCCGACTGGGTTGAACGCACCAAGGAATACTTGATTACTACTTGCCGTGCTGCACAGTAGGTTCTGTTCTCGCTGATACAAGTTTTCACGGTATCCCTCACTCCAAGAGCTACAGCGCTTGAAGCCCCTGTGGGGATGGCGAACCACAGGTGCCAGTGCAAGTAATGATGACATGGAAGTGCTTGACTTTTCTCACGGAGAAAGACGAAATGCCTACTGCTGCCTCCATGTAATAAAGTTAAGAACCCTTTCAATTTGAAGCACATTATCGGCACCTAAAAAACCTTCATACTGTTTGGAGGCAGCTTCAGGTCCTCAGGGTTTAGGCTGCTTATGGCTTCTCCAGGCTTGGCCTTCTCAACGGTGGCCCACTTCTCACCCACGAAGAAGCGAAGGTGCATCTGCACCCCTTTTGGGCCTTCGGCAGATGCGTTTAGTCCACTAAGCCCGAAACCCTCGAGCAATGAAACTTGGAATTGAAAGCCTCACTCTGACATGGGAGCACAGTCGGGCTCAGGCCCCAGAGGTACAGGCTGCAGTTGTCCGGGCCTGTGGAAGCAAAGCAAGGACCATCGAAGCAGCAGCGATACACGGAGTGCCCACGGGAACAGCCAAGGAGTGAAGAAAATGAAGAAAACAGCTCTTCTTAGTTTGGCTTGCATATGCAACCCATATGCAACCCATATGCACCCCATATGCAACCCATTGCAACCCGTGTTTTCCTGGTGTTACGTCCCTCCTTGGCTGGGCGAGGGTCTTGAGTCTTCAGATGGGATACTCGCTTTTACGGAGATTTCCGAGAGGATGGGTTTGCACTGGACTTTTGCCAGGAAGTAGAGCCCGGGAAGTGAGTTCATGTGCTCGGAGCCTGCCGAGTGTCTTCCGAGTTTTGCGAAGACTCTCAGCCTCGGTGCCCGAATGAGCTTCCGAGCGCCACGGATACTGTGACAGAGCCCACTACTTCAAGTCTGTTGCAGATCGCAACACAAAACACACCCAGACATCCTGGACTCCTAGGACGCCTAAATCCTAGCTCTTGGGGGTCACTGAGGTGGAAGCTCCAGCTGCAGACCTCTGCAACCTGGGCGAGTCGGTGACAGAAATGGCTGTCGTTCTGCACAGTGTGATGATATTAGGGGTTGGTTTCTGTTGGATTCTGCATGCTATTGTTCCGGGGGGGGGGGGCCGAAACCAGCAAGCGAGCAAGCATGCATCGGTTTGAAGGCTTTGCCAGCAAGTGGCCAGCTGCTAGCTAGGCAAGACAGGCAAGCAATGCCTAGATTCGCCCGGTTGCACGGGCAGGGAGTGTAAAGCAAGAAAGTGACACGGCGCTTTTAGCCACTTTAGCCAAGCTAGCAGAGGCTCTGCCGCTCCCATTGCCAAGTTGGGCTCTCAGACAGCACTGGTGCCCTTTGGTGCCCTTTCATCCCAGCTCTCGCGAAGTCAAGCCATCGCCCCGCCATGTTGAAAAGGCCGTGCATGTTTGCATCAGCATGCCATGCCTGGATGAGCACTGTGGCAAGGAAGTGGGCAGGGGTTGACAGAAAAGCGGTAGATCGCTCTGTCTGGGGCCGCCGATCACTTCAACAACAATTTACAGCTTTTGAAGCAGCCGAGCACCAGCACATGCTGTTGTTAGGCTTCTCTTCCAAGGAAAGTGAGTGATTTCGGGTCCTGACCAAGTGCCTAACGCTTCATGTGTCCTGCTTGCGGAAGCAGGTAACGGCAACGGTAAAGGTATGTATCAAAAGCACAGGAATCGATCGACACGTTCTGGGACCCCCGACCAGCAGCAGCGAACTTGGGCGAGAAGTAGCTCTTATATCGGAGCCTGGCATCCCCGAGCAGTCGCTTGAGCTCTCCACCCCAATCCAAATCCCACCATTGGGAAATACTCGGACATGGGCCTCAACAGTGAGCTGATCAACAAACAACGGATTCCTGGGACTCGTAAACATTGACGGCTTCCCCCGGATTCTGTCGTCTCGGGATTCTTTCAGGCGCCAAGCCCAAAACCCAAGGTGCCCCAAGATCCTCAATTTCTACAATCCGAGACTTTTGGCATGATGGAGCCCAAACCCTCTCAGCCCGAGGCGAAGGTGTGCTCGGAGAGGCTGGCAGATCCTGACCTCCAAGGTGACGATGGGCTAGCGAGAGGCAACAGAGGTGTAGGGGGGGGTGTAGGGTTTGGGGGTGTTTGGGGCTAATTGCGCTGTATTATATTTCGGGTACCTGCTTCGGAACAGAACGGAACACTGTCGATAAGATACTTTGCGGCGGCCGGCCAGGCCCGGAGCAGCAAGCGGCAAACCAAATCTCTTCTGAATTTCTTACTCCTCTTGGCAGCCCCAGTTCCCAGGTCACATACATCCTGCAAGCGCTGCGCACGTGCTCACGCGCTGCGGGCGACCTCCGGGGCTGGCAACAGGCAGCAAAGAGCTTGCGCCCTTCCTCAGTCGGGGCTTCAAGTGCCGGGGTTCGAGTAGGGGCCCTCTTCAAGGCAACTCAAAAAAAGGATTCTCGGGCCCCCAACAGGTGCCACTCCACGCGCCGGGCCAGCACCTGCTCAAGTTGTTACGAAACTACTGCGACTGCTGGCACAGCCCAGAGCCGCTGAAACCTAAAAGACGAGCGCACCTGATCCAGCATCTCAAGGAAATCCTGGTGCTGATCCGCTCCTCTGAAGGCAGATGGTGCGGATTGATTGGGTTTGTTGGTTTTAAGCTCCTGACCAGTCTGCCCTAAAGGCGCCAAACCATCCCCCCAAAACCCCAAACCTGAACCCCACTGAGACCATGCACGGCACCATGTGTCAGCTTCGATGTCGGGCACTGGGCACCCGGCGCTCGTCCATCTGCGCCAGCCTCTCTGTTAACTTTCGGGCTGTAGGCTCTATGGGGCTCAAGAGGCCGCCCATGGTGCCTGTTCCAAGATTCGGTCCTGAAGTCCGTCAAGGCTTGCGAGACCTGGAATTCGAACTTGGGCAGTTTAGGGGCAGTTTAGGCACAGTTCAGGGGGTCTTCATGATGTGCGTTGGGATTTGCGGGGCTTGGCAGAACCGGGAACTCCGGGCTGACAAGTCTGAAGATTCTTAATCATCAGATGCGGCCGAGAAATGCAATTTGCAATGTAGGCAGCTATCAAGCACACATTCTTTCATGAACCTTCAGGAGCTTGGCTCATCAGAACTCATAGCGCGCTGGACATGCAGAGACTATGAAAGGTGATCTTATAGCGTCGGACACCACATCAAAAGAAGCAACTGTTTAAAAACCCTCCCGATCTGCGCCTCTTCTTTGGATGCCTGCGTCTCACCTCGGCAATGATATCGCACGCGGAACAGCAACAGACACCGGGGTTGCAGCTTCAGGAATTTTCTGGCATGGGCACGTCCTCCCTGGGATGCCCACTGGCGGCGGTGTTGCGGCATTCAGCGAGAAGCGCGTCCAGGCCTGGGATCCCCCTCCTTCCCTGCCTTGCACACTGCATCGAGAGCAGGTTTGTCACCTCCTTAAAAAACCATCATAATAGTGACAAGAAGAAGAAGAACAATGATAATAACAATGATAATCATAATCATAATTATAATAATCATAATAATAATCATAATAATGATCATAAAAATAATCATAATACTGATCATAATAATAATCATAAAAATATAATAAACCAGCAAGGCTGCAAAGGGGGCCAAAAGCCCCTGAGAACCCCGGCGCGCAACCTCGGCGTCAAGCTCTTTCCGATCCTGGCCGTGAGCTTCTGAGGTTTGTCAACTTCAGAGGTTCGGCTGGGCTTGGTGAGTGTCGCCGCTGGGGTTTAGGGTTTTTGATTTAGGGTTTTGGGTCTAGGGTTCGGAACATCAGTCCAGGGTAAATAGAAACAAAAAAACACACAAAAAAATGATGCCAACCAGGGCTTGCAGAAGCCAAGCACCCCCCAATCCTTCTCGGCAGTGTGCCTGATCTCCCGGTCGACCTGCCAGGTGGAGAAGTGCCAGATACCCATGGGTTAAAGCACCCTGGAAACCCTCTTGAACTTGAGCCTGCCTTGGCCTCAGCTTCCATGGCTGCTTCAAGGTTCCTGCTGAGCAGGGTGCAGACCTCCGCGTCCTTGTTCGCTGCCTGCTGTGCGGTTTCATGGGGTGTTGGGTTGCCGAGACTACCGAAACAAGGGCTACAAGATCAACCTGAAAGCGCCAAACCCTCGATGCAGAAGTGATGACATGGAGCCCTGCTCTTTCCAAAAGAACTCTGCACAAGAAGCGCGACAACGCGCCGATCGCGCTCCTCCTGACGGAACTCTGCCAGCTGAGCTGTCAACCTTGCGCAGGTCAGACCCCTTCCTAAGCCCTACGCCCTCAAGCCTGAAGGCCAACCTCCCCCTCCCGCCCAAATCCCGCTCTCAAAGCCCACGACATCCCCCAACCCTCAACCCAAACCCTGTTTCCACAAGGACCTTTGGCCATGGGGACGGTGGGACTTCAGGTGCGAGAGTCGCTTCTCGCATGCGTTGGGGTCTCGACCGTCGGCTTGTCGATTTGATCGCTTTTGCACCAGCTGGAACTCGAAAAGTGACAGGAATGTCATCCCCAGTAAACATGCCGACGGTGCTGCCGTTCGACCTCAGAGGCCTGCTCTGACACCTGGCACGGCTTGTGGGGACACATCTGTGCTCGAACCCCCATGCCGCAACCACATCTTTCTCGAACTTACAGAGCTTGCAGAATCAGAGCCCTAAAGCCAACAACCCCAACCCCCAAACTCTGCTCAGCCCTAAACCCTACACCCTAGACCTGCCCTAAACTCTAGAAACCTTAAACCCTAAACTCCCTAAACCCGCTGCAGTTGGTGGAGCGAGCTGCGCCCTGATCATACAGGTCAAGCGCCTGCCGGGTCTTGGTCTCAATCAGCTCTGTGAGATCCTGCCATGCCATCCGAAATAGCCCTCTGTGGATGTTCAACTCCCATGGGAGGGATCCTCGCTGCAAGTACACTGAATTCAAGTAGGGTCTACCGTCCCCACGCCGAGGCCTTTCGAAGGGAGGCGAACTCCTCCTCGATCTTGACACAAAGGGACCTCGGTGCTCAGTGCCTTTACGCTTTAAACTCTGCCGGATTTTTGTGAAGTGATTGTTATGGGTCTGCTCCGCAGCTATGGCTGGGCGTCGCGGCGTCAGCTCGTCCGCAAAAGCATTGCGAACGTCTTCGTCCAGCTGGTTGATCCGACCCTTGGCACGTGGGACTGTGTGCTGACTCCTGTGGGCTATCGCTGCCATACGCAGGGTTCAGATCAAGCTTGCCTGGTCAGCGGGCGGATGGTGGAGGCCTTGAATAGGTGCTGGGAATCCGGCATCGAGATGGTTGTGCCCGCTGTTGCGCGCTTCCTCCTCCTGGGTGAGTGCCCCCATTACCTGACAAAGCAGCAGGAAACGGACAAACGCTTCTGTCCCAAATGGTGTCTTGACAAGCTCAAAGCTTTGGAGATGCCCCTCCATACAGTGCGCACGCCCTCGTTCCAAGCCCCCGAAAGCCAAGGCCTCGTTGCGAAGCGTGGCCACGGCGGACTCCACGTCGGCCTGACGGGCAGTCTTTTTGGGACATTGTTGGGGGTTGTAGGCTTCGGGCATTCAGCATTCACGCGGGGTGCGTTAAGCGTTCGGTCTTTGAAATGTCTGTGGCTTCTTCGTAGTGACTTTCGGGGGATCTAGGATTCGGGGTTCTTGCTCTCTCTCCACACCCACAATGTTCCCCCAAAAAGCCCAAGCCCCAAATCCCAAAACCTGAACCCCCAAACCTTTGAGAACCGAACATCCCAACACATCCCAAGACATCCCAAACGTCCCAAACATCCCAAAACATCCCAAAACCCCCCGTCGTGCCTGGCCATCCTCCTTCACTCTCGACAGTGCCTCGCTTCGGCTCAAGGCTTGGGGGATCAGAGGCCGGGTTGGCTTCTATGGGGCGGGGTTTTCTATGTCGGTTTGGGGTGCCGGACCAAACCGTTGCAGAAACCCCTCAACCCGCAAGCCCTTATACGAATCGAAGGCCCGGAACCCTCAACCCAAAACTGTAGACTCTGTAGACCCAAACCTCGAGAAGTCAAAGAGCCAACAGCTGGAGGAAGAATCGGGAGAATTGGAGTGGGCACCTCCTCCGCAGACTTGGCGTTCTGCTTCACGATCTCAGTCAAGTCGTCCACCTGGGCGGCTCTGCGTGTTCTGAACTGTCAAATCGCTGCAGACGGAGGGAACCTATCACACCTAGCACGCACGGCAAGCGTCATGGTAGTGATGTCTTGAGGCTTTCGGGCAACCGGCTGCCCAGCTCTACAAAACAAACCCGAACTCGGGACTGAGGCTTCGGACATTGTTCTGTACACGTGTGGCCGGTGGCTGCACCTCCTCCTGTGAAATCAGCTCAGAAATCAATGTGGTGATGCCCTACACTTTGAATCCAAACCCAGCTGTAAGGTATGCGCTATCGCCCATACGGAAGAAGCTGCGGCAGTTGATTCAGTTGCAAACTGATAGCTGAAGCATGCTGAAGTCGAGGTAAGAGACACCAACTTCTGCATTTCTGGACAGCTTGGTCCGTTAGGACCCTCGGCACCCTCGGCACTCTTTCGCCTGCCTATGCTGCAAAGAAGGAAATAGCCACGACTCTGATACGTCTGCTTTACGTATGCTGAAGGAGCATCCATGAACCATTCCTTCGGAAGAGTGAAGGCATTTTTCGAATTCAAAGTATGCAAGAGCAAGGACGGCTGCAAACGCACCGTACCCAGTCTTGTGGGTGCTTTCTAGGTGTGAGGCGGTCAGGCTGCTCAGATCTGTTTCCAAGGGGCTTTCAGGCTCCAAGCGCAAAAAGCAGAAACCCTGAGCCTAGTCCAAATCGAGCCTTGTCAGCCTTTCCCTTGTTCAACTTGGCGATGAGGGCCTCGCAGGGCCGTGATAAGGGAACTCCAATGAATTTCACTGGGTTGAGGGACTTGGCTTAAGCCTCACAGTACACAAGGTGGCTATGGCCTCAAGCGGCTTCGGCCTCAACCACTTCAGCCTCGCTTTCCATATCTCGAACCCTCACCCCTAACCTCCCATAGCTGAGGTCTCTCTTTGGCGCCTTGAGCTCCGACTTCGCCGCCTCCAAGTCGTCCACCGTGGCATTCGGCGTCTTGGGCCTGCAGCTTAAAGAGGGGCCCACTGGCCCCCATTTCAGGGATGAGAGATGTTGAGGGTGTTGGGCTTAGGGTCGTGAATCCATGGAGAGCGCACTTACCGCCGAGCCCTTTGCTTGTAGTTGGGGTTTTCGGCAGGGTCAACAGCATCGCTGCGTCGCGAATGGTCAGAATATGAATGAATAAAAACGCGCTGTTCGGCAAGTCGTGCGGATGTTGGCATGAGCTTTTGAGCAGCTACAGGCATTTAACATCTACTGCCTTTCGGGTCTCTGCTTTGTTTCTGTCTTGTCCCAGCCCGGCCGAAGCGGCCGAACTTTCAATCGAGAAGCACATTCACCCCGAGAGTGGCGGGACAGTGGCTTTCAGGCGTTTGGGTGAGGGTCACAGGCACACGGAAGGCAGATCGAGGCTACACATAATGAAGGTCCCAAACCCTGCGGGTAAGGGCTCGGGAACCTTTCCAATCGGTGTCGACGTTGGTGCACTTGGAGCGGGCACGAGTGCATTTCAGGCAAACAATCACTGTGTGCATGTGTGAGGGAGAGCAACAGGCCCGGCGCCGCCATCGGGAGCCAAAAACGCAAAGGAGAGCACAGGCAAACACGAAAACAGGCTTGCAGCCGGAACCCCCTCATCCTCAAAATACTTTTGAACCTTTCCCTACTTCAGGAACGGCACAGCCACAACATCGGCAGTGGCGTCATCGTCACATCGTAACAGCCCTATAGCTCTGACAGAAACAGTGTAGTAGACCTGCGACACCAATTCATAAGCGTGTCAGCTCCGCATGTTGTCAGCTCAAAGGAGATTCTCAAGCACCATTGCAAAGAGCATTCATGCACATTTCGGGTTATCAACCTTGCGGATGCAACGAGAGCATGCTCTGTCATGCACTATCATTTGCTGGGGGAGTCTGCGCACTTTCCTATGGGCCCTCACCTGCCATGACGAAACATGCTGCTAACGGATTCCTGACAGGAGCCGAGCAAAGAGGGAGGGGGAACGTTCGATAACGTCTGTGACACTCTGAGGGCATGCCGCGGCTTCGGATCTCTGGCCAAAAAGCATCTCAGAGGTGCACAGACATGCAGGGGATTTTCACGTAATTGGCACGCAAAGAAGTGCTCCTTAACAGCCGTGTCTGGGCAGATCCCGAACGGTCTGTACAATTTAGAATGTACAATAAAACATTTGCCGACCCAGCGCGCCGCCCGTCTTCGGATATCCCGGCGCTCACGGCGCCCTGCGTGCAAGGCTGATAGGGGAGCGGATAGAAGGCAAGTTGAGCCTGTTTGCAAGAGATCTCCCTTACATTGGAGGGGTGATTGCACCGATTGCCACACAACACCCAGCCCAACAGCTCCATCAGCTCTGCTCGAATTTCAACAAGCCACTGCAGTGGCTCAGCGCTTGCCTGTGCCGGGCCCTCAAGGCTCCAGCATAGAGTTAGCATACCATCTCATTGCACAGAACAAACCTTTCGGTTGCCTCTCACCTCTGTCGTCCGAGAGGCCCCTGAAACCTACCCTAAAACATCCCCTAAAACATCCTAAAGTCCTGCCACATGGCTATGATGGTCAGATATGGTCAGTAGAAATGGCCTGCGCTGGAAGAAAATGCGGCCGGCTGAACAACTCCAACTGGCTCGCTTTCGGTCTGCTCGCGTCACGAATTGAAAAGCCTTGAGCCATGAACCGTAGATCCGTGCTATTCCTTGTTGCTGAATTTTGCGAAAGCTTGCACAACAGACCCCTGCAGTACCATGTTTAAGCTTTGACACGTCGAGTTGCGTTCGTGACGAGAGCAAATTCAGGCACTGGTGACAGCTTCGGAGCCCCATAGTGCAGACCGCTCCAGGGAAACCTTAGTATGTTTCTTCATTGCTTCGGGCTATTGGGTCACCCCCCCCCCCATGTTTCTTTGGGCACGAAAACCCCAACAAAGGATCCCGCTGATGCTGCTCAAAAAACCGACTCTCACAGGCACGATGCTTTTCACGGCCCTCTTTCTGTTTGATTTGATGTCCAAGGTTGCTTTTGGGCCCCCCCCCCCCCCCATTTTTCGTTGGATCGCATCTCCCGGCACTGCACCCTTCTAAGTCCAAAACCAAACCACAGCAGGAAAATATCCTGAGCTCTCCGATCAAACTGAAGCACCCGACACCGCCTTCGCCTTCGGAATTTGGAGGCAGCTAGGGCTTGCGCTGTCTTGGCCCGTAGGTCTGGCGGCGCAATATTTGCAGCTCATCAGACCTGCCGTTGGGAAAAAAAGGCAGCTGGCAGTTCGCAGCACTAGCAGCTTGAGCTCACTGGCTTCATGGACTTGAGCCTGCAGTGTCGTTCTCTTGTCGGGTCTTTCTTGTAAGGTGCCGTACTATACCACGATATAGTCTATAGGCCCCAAAAGGGACCCTGATTTAGAGAACTGCCCTTCTACGCACTGTGGGTGTGCACAGGAGGGAAGCGGACCTTTCGCAAGCCTTAGCCCGCCCGCCTCAGAGGTTCTGGCAAAACAATGGCATCCCATGCCACCTCACAGCGAGCGGTGCAAGAACGAGCCCTGAATGCTGGACAAGACACTGAACCCCACCAAAGCCCTGCTACCCTGAGTTGCAGTCCACCTCACTCCACACACCCTACAAGTACCACAACCAAACAACTCTGCCAACCCTAAATTTCAGAAACCGGGCCTTGCCGGCCACCGGCCTAAATGCGAACGGTGATGGACTGGCCTCTCCGCGCCGGCGGGGTCGCAATTTTTCTGGGTTTGGGGCCTTGGGGCCTGAGGCATAGGGCTTGTGGGGAGCTGTGTGCCAAGGACTTAAGGACTTGGGTGTGGGCGAAGGTTAAGCCAAGCCCACAGGGCTGCTTTCATGGGATTGGGGGTGTTTGTCTTCGAGAGGGGTTGGGCAGGCACCGCAAGGCGCAGTTGCCTTGCAGAAATGTCGGAGGTGGGCAGCTCGCAGACTAGTTACTGACCAGTTGCCCAAGGATGATTTGTCGCAGCGCCTTGGTCCTTGGTCCCTACATTTTGAGCAGCGACCTCTTCTAGTCGGGATTGGGCCAATCGTCTCAGGGTCCTTTCTGAGAGGTGGGGGACTGCCAAAGCTATGAACTTGGGCTTTAAGGAATGGCAATCCCGCCTCGGCCGAACGGCATCCAGCACCGCACGGTGCACAAGGACCAGGAGTCATTTGCCCCCCTAACCCGTTCCCCCCCCCCCCGCTTCCGCACTCTTCCACCTGCAGTTCCCTTTGCCATGTTTCCGACCTCCCTTCCCCTTCCTCAGTTCCCCTCCTACCTTCCCGGCGTCCCTCCTGCAGCCACAGGCCCCGGCCGAGCCGGGTGAAGCATTAAAGTACTTCCATTCTGCTCAAACTTAAGCGAGACCTGCGATCTTTACACTAAGGACCCCCACAACCGACATCGAAACAGAACCCACTCATGAACCGGAGGCTCTTTCCGAAATGTCCCATACGGACCAAGGGGTCTACAGGCCCCCAGGTCGCCAAACTCCACGTAAACGCATACGCAGGCGCCTGTCCTGAACTCTATGCTAGGGACGGTTGCTGCAGCGTGGGAAAAGTCTATGCAAAACATGCAATGCCCGGCCCTGACCGTCGCTGCGGGGGTGTCTTGATGTGTGTTGGGCGGCGTTCTGGGAAGTGGGCTGGCCTGTGGCTTGCCTCAGCAGGTCGACGCAGTTCATGTGCTTCTTTTCCTCACCAACAGTGGAGATAACCCCCAAATTCTGAACCCTACTACAAGCCCCAACCCTAATTAGGTCACACGACTTCCCCAGCATCCATCGCACAAACTTAAGACCTCCAACCTTGCGTTCTTTGCCCCTGCAGATGGCGGCTTTAGCCGGATTTCGGGCCTTCGCCAGGTCCAGGGCAGATCGGCCCTCCTGTGCGGGTCTCTTCGGGCCCGTGATCTTACCAAGACTGTGCTCCTTCACTCGTCTTCCGTGGCTGTCTTCAGTTTGAGCTTAGAAACCAGGCATCCTACAGCCCTGGAGATGAAACAGTGAGAAGATCTGCGTTTTATTTCCGGAGGGTGTGGAACAGTGTGTAACACATTAGCTGTTTCGTCTTTGGAACAGGG